TTATATAGATTACTCACCAAAGTAAACCTATAACCCCTATAATATCTGTATGGTGTTTTTAGTTATATAGATTACTCACCACAGTAAACCTATAACCCCTATAATATCTGTATGGTGTTTTTAGTTATATATTACTCACCACAGTAAACCTATAACCCCCATAATATCTGTATGGTGTTTTTAGTTATATATTATTCACCACAGTAAACCTATAACCCCTATAATATCTGTATGGTGTTTTTAGTTATATATTACTGACCACAGTAAACCTATAACCCCTATAATATCTGTATGGTGTTTTTAGTTATATATTACTCACCACAGTAAACCTATAACCCCTATAATATCTGTATGATGTTTTTAGTTATATATTACTCACCACAGTAAACCTATAACCCCCATAATATCTGTATGGTGTTTTTAGTTATATATATTACTCACCACAGTAAACCTATAACCCATATAATATCTGTATGGTGTTTTTAGTTATATATTACTCACCACACTAAACCTATAACCCCTATAATATCTGTATGGTGTTTCACTAAAATATGCTGAATTCAGCGACAGATTGGGCTCGATATTTATTTTTGGTATTAAAACTTATAGTGATATGATGTATCTATTCATTAGTTGGGTGCCCTCACTGTTGTCGATGTTCTCGGCCGTAATCCCAATAATTTATCAAGAGGTTCGGACAGTATAGGAGATTTAGGTTAGTCCTAAATCCAAATACCAAGCTAACAACGAAAACAATAATCATAATAAAATATATAATATATATTTTACCAATACTGTTAATGATACAAGATAAATCCAAAATACAATTTACTTACAAATCACATAAAAACTAGAATGCTTTCCTCATGCACTATCACAGATTCCCTGTCCCTTTAAAAGCGTGATATAAGTGTACGTAAAACATTATATAAAATGAGATTCGTGAATTACAAATGGATTCGGCTTGACATACAACCCAAAAAATCTGAACCTAGATGGTTAATATACTTTTCTTTGTTTGCTTGTTTGGGATATTTGAAAATATATTTTACTGTAGCTTTTTGAAGATACTGATAAATTAGTTCTTCACCACGTTCTTCATGATTAAAAACTAGAATCGGAACTAGGGTAGTTTGAACTCAACTAATATATATATATATACCCCATTTCTTAACCTAAAACGTGACGTCACCTATACCTGATCTCGCGAGCGATTGTGGAGATAACATGATTGGCTGATATTAATCTGTTGCCTACATTCAAAAAACTTCTCCAGATATTTGGTTCACTAAACTGAATGAAAAATTAGAAGTAAATTGTTAGTATAATCAATGACCCTGTGCAGAAAGCGACCGTGGAACCGATTTCCACATTCTTTGGTGTAACAGTAATGATCTCCCCTTACCTCTTCTTCTAATGTAATTGAAGCAATGCATTTCGAGATTGGGCTCCTATTGAGCGTTCACATCAGAGAAGAATTGTCGCCAGGGGGCAGTTTTACTCCACTTTGTCTCCTTTAATTACGCTGTACTGACCGATCTGAAACATCAACTGTCTGCTGTTACATTCCAATACCCAGCTGTAATCGATCAAGTCTTCTGTACATACATACAAGTGAAATAAAAACACACTTTACCACCAGGAGGATGCCAGATAAATGTTTTATTGTTTTAGAAGACTCCGCCATTGTCAGTCGTTATTGAGTTATTTTGTTGTTGTTGTTTTTTAATCAAAGTTCTGTCATTTCAGGAATGTTTTAAATTTCTGAGCAAAAATTACTTTTCTTTTTCGCATGAAATATTAATCTTATTTTCATCTTTCATGGTATAATTACAGTTTGAGATTTAAAATATTAAAAACAAAATTCAGGGTTCTGTGATGATAAATCGACTTAACAGCAGTTATCAACAAAGAAATCGAAAGCTTTGAAGTTCGGTCTTTAATTAGTAAGTATTTCACAAAGTCTCAGCTGGTGATATTATGTTCACGATGTTCTTTTATATATATATAATGTTACTAGGTCATTTCTTAAGGCTGTGTGGAGGTTATATGCAACTTCGAACTTTAACCTGAGAGTTGGGTTTGTTTGTTTGAATTTCATTGTGTAGCTTTATGCTTAATAACAAACAAACAAGGTTCAAGAAACAAGCTTTTTCCAACTCACTCTCAATCTAGGTTGTTAAATCAAGGTCATTTTATGACTGATACCGCACATTCAATGTATATTACTTATGAAATATAATGTTGTTCCTGGCATGTCTTGAAGCTTAGTTGCAAGTTAAGTAAACCACAAGTATGTGTGACTGTGACTAGCTCGTTTCGTCCACCAGGACACTAAAACAAATGCTCGTTTCGTGCACCAGGGCAGTTTAAAAAAATGCTCTTTTCGTCCACCAGGGCAGTCAAGAAAAATGTTCATTTTGTCCACCAGGCCAGTAAAAAAATTGCTCATTTCGTCCACCAGGGCAGTCAAGAAACAGGCTACCTACTGGCAAGCAACAAATTAATTTTTTCATAAAATATGCACACACTTTTTATTTTTAAAAACTTTATTCCGTTCCAAATCTTTCCCTAATATCTCTATTTATATGCCCATATTTTATGCGAACTGTTTAGATGAACAAATATTGTATCTGTTTATCATGC